AGTGCTGCCGCACCTGCCTCGCCCGCGGCCACCCCACGGCCACTCCCCGCTGACCGCGCCCTGGCCGGCGCCCCGCAGACAGATGGACCACTGACAGCCGCACAGACCTCAGTGCCCGCCGCCCCTCCCTTCGCGCCCTCCTGGTGCTACCCTGGCCCCCCCGCAGCGGGCTGGGGAACCCCCTCAGAAAGGTATTTTTTTATTCTAACAGTTTGTGTAACAATTATTATTATTATTATTATTATTATTATTATAATTATTATATAAACGAGCATCTACCGAGTCAGAGCGTGGCCTGGTTTCCTCCTGGATGGGGGAGTTTGAGGTCTGAAACTCTGCCCCCACCCTCCATTGTCCGCCTGAAATGCCGCTTGTCCTGGGGAGAGGAGCTGACAGGCAGAGCAGGGAACTGGCCCACGTGGGCGGGAGGCTGGGCGAGGCTGAGGCTGCTGCCTGGAGGAGGCGTCTCTGCCCCCTGCTCAGGCCCCCAGCCCCCCCCATGTTCCCCGTGTGGTCCTCAGATCCGAGTTTCTCAGGGATGGGGCCGCCTCCCATCAGCAAGGCCTGTGTGTCACCTGCAGGGACTGCCCCCCCCAGGCAATGGTGGGCTCTGTGAGCCCCTTGGGCTCATCTGCACCAACGGGTAGAGGGAGGCATTCCCTGGGCTTTGTCAGCTCTGGGCCAGTTGACCTTAGCCCCCTGCGGGGAGGGGTCAGAAGGAGGGGCAGACTGGCCAGTCACAGCCTTCTTGCCCCACTTGTCCATCTCCTTCACCTCGGTGCTCAGGGGAGAGGGGCTAGGCCGGTCCCTGGGGTCCCTGGTATCACTCCAGGTGGCCCCAGGTGCAGCCGCTCCGCCCCCCAGGTGACACTGACCTGTGGGCCAGCCACCTGGTACCTGCCCCCCACAGCCCCTTCCTGCCACACTCACTTCCCTGGAGCCGGCCTGGTGCACACCCCAGGGGAGGCTTCGAAGGATCCTGGGCCCTGGTGGGGGCGGGGAGGCGGGGGAGGGGCTACAAAACATCCTGGGGGCCCAACCCCTCCTCCAGGAAGCGGCCTGTGCAGGCCCAGGCTCCCCTGTGCCCAGGAGCCTTTGACTAGACCCTTTTATCACCTGCTCACAAGTCACCCCCCTTCTCTCTCCATTTGGGAACACTGAGGGTCAGAGGGGTCCAGGCCCCCCTGCACCCCCCTGCCATGCGTACCTATCTTCAGGGGACACCACTCACACCCGTTCTACGTAATGTGTATGTATGTGGTGGCCTGAGGGTGCTCACTCTGGGCCCTGTGGACACTCGTGGCTGGGTGTGTGTTGGGGACAAAGGGGATGTTGAAAATCACTCACTGGGGACTCAGACCAGAGGCTGAAGCATCAACTGTGTCTGTCCCAGAACTAGAGGGGTGGAGGGCAGTGGCTGTCCCCAGTAGGAACAGGGTGCTGTTGGGCCCAGACGCTCTTAGATCTCACATCGCCCCATTTCAGACCAGAAGCCAAAGGCACTGAGGGAGGCGACCGGCTGAGGCCACGCACCCTGGCCACATGGGCCGCCAGCCCTACCTCCCGCTGAGCTCGGGGGCGTCCCAGGCCAGGCAGGAAGATGACCCTGGGCAGGCCCCACAGCAGCTGGGACAGAGGTCGCACAGGAAAGTGCATCCCTGGGGGCTTGTGTGAGTCTCATAGTCACCACACCATGGAGGTTGGAGGGGCCACAGCCTTGCTTCCTGTCTGCCTGCAGACACCCGGCTGGCCCACGGAGGCCCTGGGGACCTGCTCTGAGTAATGGCTTCCACACTGTCCACTTGCTGTCCACGGCCCCTCATGAGAGGCAGGCGTCAGAGCCTCTGCTTGGGGCTCCCAACCCACACGAGCCTGGGGGGGTCCCAGCCCCGGCGCTGCGGTTGTGCTGGGTGACCTCAGGAACCCCCATTCTCACTGCATCCTGTCCCGGGAGGAGACTGGCTCACCAGGTCCTTGCCTGCTCGGACTGTCTGGGAGCCCCCCTCCCCCACATTAGGGAAGGACATTTGGTCTTAATCATTATGTGTTTTTCCCATGATGAAGGTGGGGTGGGGGATGGTGTCCCCAGTGGCAGCTGGGCCTGAGCTGTCACCCCAGGCGGGAGGCAAACAACCCATGACTCAGGCAGGGCATGTCACAGACGGTGGGAGGAGGGGTGCCGACCATGTGCCGCTGGGGGCTGCTCCAGCTCCTGGGGCCCGGCTGAGGCCCAGGCCCCTGCGCCTGGCACTAGCTCAGTGGGCATGCCTGAGTTCTTGGCACCAGCGGCAGGACTGGCTCATGACTGGCTCAGGATGGCCCGGAGGGGTCAGAGTATGCCTCAGACCCTTCACCAGGGTGGCAAGTATTAAGACAGTCTATGGAGAATGTGCACTTCACGGGTGTCACACTATCCCCAGGTAAAAGGCACCCATCCACAAGAGACATTTTTAAATGACGGGAACTTGCCCCTCACCACTGGCCGCGGTTTCATGGAAACAGATGAGCCCCCAGGCTGGGCTGTGTGTTTTCGGCCGTCGGGGGTGGGGTGTCACAACAGAAACTGGTTCCTCCAACAGTTAGGGGGCTCCCTCACCTCCTGCCCCCATTCTGCAGGGACTGAAGGCCCCGATACGTATACAAACCCCAGGAAAGGCTGTGACAGAACAGAAATGTCCCCAGGACCTCCAGGCCACTGGGCCCTGCTCTTCTATTTGCTCGGGCTCCTGGAATGTGAGGTGCACACAAGTCAGCACACACACCCCTTCAGCGTTTCTCCCTTTTAGATTTAAACTCCCTGCTCCTTAGATATGCCTCACTCCCGGAGGATCAGCCTCCTGCAAGGAGGGAAAAGGTCAGCAAGGCCCTGTAAATGCTGAGTTCCCAGAGTAGTTTCTAGTGCACATGACACGGGAGGAAGAGAGAGGCCTGGACGACACCCTCCTTTGGGGCTGATCAGGTTCTGCCTCCTGCTCTGCTCAGCTGACGGGGCTGGGGACAGGGGACCTGGGCCACATGACCAGCACCTCTTCTCCTGCAGCTGTTTGTCACACATGAAACCTCCGTGCCCAGCCCCATCTTTGCTACAGAAAGCACGAAATCCCATTCCCATTTCTCACTGATGCCTTCAGTTGCTGACTGAGGCACAGCAGGAAGGCGAACACCTACGCCTGGGTCTGGACGGTACCCGAGTAGAGATGAGAAAGTGCCCTGGGCCTGCTCGGTTAGAAGACAATGCTGGGAAGTCCTGACTCAGAGATGGGTTGATCTGGTTTAACCCAACATCCCCTGGCGCCCCTGGCTCAGAATTCCCACCCTCCAGCTTGCAGAACCGAACCACGTGCTGCAGAATCTGTGTCCTTGGAGAGTAACGCACTGGGGCCCAGAGGTGGGCCGAGGGCACCCACAGTACTCGCCACCCCCGGGAGATCCTCTGCAGCTGGCCTGGAGCCTTGATGCCCTTGGGAACCCGTGGTCCAGGGACCTTGACTTCCTGAAGCCAAACGCAGGGAGAGCTGCACCCGAGTCCCTGGTAACTTGCTGCTGTCAGAGGACGTGGCACTGAAGCTGGTTCAGGGACGGCCGACCGTAGGTTCTGGCAAATCTGGGAGGAAAGTGACCCGCTAACCTGAGAAACACACACTGTCCCCTTGTTTCTGTTGTGGTGCCTGCAATTCCACTCGTGTCCACAGGGCCACAGCATATACTTTCTTTTTTTTAAAATATTTTCTTTTTTAAAATATATCTTTATTGATTTCAGAGAGGGGAAAGGAGAGGGAGAGAGAGAGGCAGAAACATCAATGAGGAGAGAGTCATTGATCAAGCCCGCAACTGGGCCTGTGCCCTGACCGGGAATCGAACCCCGATCGCCTGGATTCTAGGCCCACGCTTAACCGCTGAGCCATGCCCGGCTGGGCTACTTTCTTTTTTTAAAAAAAAAAAAAAAAGCCTTGGAGGCCGCAAAAGGACCAGCGAATGTTCTGTGTTGCTAGCAACCTTGACTGGTTCCCAGGCATTTGCCCAAGTAGCCTGTTGCTTTTTTAGGGGGTGTCTAAAAAATAGTGTGCCTTCCTCTCAGGGCCTTTGTGCTTGCAGTGTCATTTCCCTGAACTCTCTTTTACGGCTTTTTAAAAAATCCCGGCTGTGGCCTTGCTTATTGCCGGAGGGCCTGGCAATGCAGCTGTCTCAGGGAAGACCAGTTTCAGTTAGTTTTATAGATTTTGACAGGTTTTGGAGGAAAGCTTGACACAATTACTTCTTTTTTTTTTTTTAATTCTCACTTGAGTATATTTTTTCCCATTGCTTTTCAGAGAAAGTGGGGGGGGGGGTTGAGAGAGAGAGAAAGAAACATCCATGTGAGAGAGACACATGGATTGCTTGCCTCCCACAC